AATAAGTTAGAGCAAATTTGAACGATATTGTGGAATAAGTCATTCCAAATTGTTTTACAACGTTTTCAGTAGTTAAATAAAATTATATGCGGATATATTTATAACTATACCTTTAATAATCCCGGAAACTTAAGAGGCTCTATTCTCATCATCTTGGATTCCAGATAATATAAAATAAATATTTTCTTATTATTAAAAACTATAAATTATTATTATAAACTACAATAAAAAATTCCCCCTATTTAAGTATTTTTCTTAGAGTTAGTGATAAATCTATGTCAAATCAATCAACTCTATCATTTTGTCAAAGAGATGTTTGTCATACAAACTTTGAATATAAGTACTTTAATTTTAACTTAAAATAGTGAAATTTGATGAATCTTCTCCACAACATTAATTAAGTTATTTGACTCCTTATGCAAATTCACTAGACTAAGTGTGTGTATGAAACTATAATTAATTTCGCTTTACCATGCATAAAATAGTTTAAGAAAAAACTGCCAGGAAACTCGAGATACCGGAAGAATCTTAGTTTCCTCCCTGCATTAATGGTACTTTATCAGTTTTAATGTTTTTATTACATTTGTAAAATGTATTGAAATACCTAATAAAAAGAAGTGCTAAAAATTGAAAAGTCCTTTCATCTTATTATTTAAATAATAATTTAAAAAGTTAGGCTTCTGTTTGACAATGAATTTTTGTACAATGTAATTTTTTTGTACAATTTTGTACAGTGTTTGACATGCAATTTTTGTACTGGTAAATTCAATTGTAAGTAAAAATATGATTTTCTAACACACTGAGAAAAAATTCATATGAAACGGTGATTAACGAAAAGGATAACATTTCTTATTAATTTTAAAAAGCGTTACCATTTTTCTAAATTTCTTCTTCTCTATTGATATGACAGATCTTTGTGGGGCATGGCCTTCTTTAGAAGTTTTGGAAATTAAAATTGATCGTTCTATTCTTCTTCTTCTTCTCTATTCCTCTCTATTATTATTATTATTCTCTCTTCTCTATTACTCTTCTTCTCTATTGATATGACAGATCTTTGTGGGGCTTGGCCTTCTTTAGAAGTTTTGGAAATTAAAATTGATCGTTCTATTATTATCTTATACACTTATACATAGATATGTATCCCGGTTGTGGTTATTGAGAAAGGGTGTTTTCCTTTGTCGAATTACATTACGCATTATTATTAGTTATCTTTGGTTTCAGAGTTTTAATAGGTAAGAAATATATGTCCTCTTTAAATTCAGATATTCGTTAACACGTGTGAATGTCGTCATGTGAATATCAGATGACGACATTCACATAGTCGTTTTGGGGAATGTCTGAAATTCAATTATCATTCAGTCGAAATTTAGTCATTAATATCATTATTTCTCTCCGATTTCAGAAAATGTCGACATTCAGCGGCGAATAAAAAAAGTTTGCTTAGAGGCTTAGAGCATTTTTCCCATACAAATCTTCCGTTACTACTTGCTGAATATCAATATTTCCCAGTGTATATGAATTCTAATCATATGCTTCCAAGAAAATCCGAAATTTGGTACAAGATACAGTCTTCATTCACATGTGAATGTCAAATGTCGGCATTCTGGTAGCCACTTCAGTGAATGACTAAAATTAAATCATTATTCAGGTGAAATTAAGTCATAATCATTATTTCTCTGTTACACCGGAAAATTTCGACAAGCAGCAGTGAATGAGAACAATTAATTTAATATTGCCCCCCTACGATTCTTCCATCAATGCATGCTGAATGTTGACATTTGTCGGTGTAGGCGGATAAAGATACGTTACCAAGAAAGTATAAAATTTAGTAAATGTTGTACTCTTCATTCACATGTGGATGTCAAATGTCAAAATTAACATAGTCACTTCTTTGAATGTTCGAAATTCAATCTATTCGGTTGGAATCATTATTTCTCTCTTAATTCCGAAAATGTCGACATTCGCCAATGAAAAAAAAAAGTTTGTTTGCATAATTTTCTCCTAACAATTCTTTCATCTCCGCATGTTGAATATCGACATTTGCCGATGTAAGCAATTAATAATGATTTGTTACCAAGAAAATGTAAAATTTGATATATGTTGCACTCTTCATTCACAAGTGGATGTCAAATGTCACCATACGCTTAGTTAAATGTCCAAAATTCTACCACCAAGTCAGAATTAATCATTATTACTCTCTTTAACCGGAAAATGTCGACTTTCGGCGGTGAATGAAATGATATTTTTACATTATTTTTCTCTTAGAATCACTGCAATATCGATAAACAGAATTCATCACTGAAGTCTAAATATCAACATTCACAGATGTTAGTAAATAATGATAATATTTAACAAAAATATTTCACTTAACTTTCACCATTCTTTAAAAATGAATTCCATATCGAATTCAATAAATATTTTTGAACATTCAACAAAGTGACTATCTCCGAAATGTGTCAATGCGTATTCACTGATTTCGGTCATATGCAGTCACATATCCTTAAATTCTGAAAGCCATATTCCAGAGAGAGAAAAAAAAACATTTTCTGGAAAAATGTCGGTTTTATTAACAGGGATAAAAACAATTTTATCAAGTTTGATTTCCCACTTTTATGAACAATAGAGAAACCAAAACAGATAAGGTAGGATTACATAAAAATAAAACGAAATAATATTATTCTCTCCGCATTTTAAATCGGAAGTTATTACAATTTTCTCGGGTTTAAAAAAATTGTCCGATCTATTTTAATAAAATTTACAGCTCTCTTTCGCGAGCGAGTTTTGGAAAGTATTATGTCTATGGGGAAAAAAAGGGATAAAAATATAGGCTACGCCTTTTTTTTCCTATCACCCAATCAATGGAAAAGAAGGGTGGAGAATACTCGGTGTTTGGTTCCCGCCTCTATTGAACATTGTGAAGTTATAACAGATGAAGTCAAAGCGAATTAACTTTCTCTTGCGGTTTGTAGGTTGTTTACGTAATTCGATCGATGATCAACACATTTAGGTTGGAGTAGTAAAATTGTTTTTCTTTTACTGCTTTATTTTTCAATCATCGCTGTTTGCATAACGGAATAGCTTCAGTTCTATGCTAAATAAAGTTAACTTTCATTTATTTATTTGTTTATTCTTTTCCACACTGTTTGGTTAACAAGCGTAAAATATTTTAAAAACAGTTTTTTTTTTGGTGCTTTTCTCACTCTAGTAAATATTTACTATAAAACGTTTCTATTTAATTGGATTTTATACTCAAATGGAAGACATAAAATATTGAAGTAGTAGCATTTAAATGGATTGATTTTGTTTATTTTATAACATTTTAAGTTAACAAAAATTTTGTTGACAAGAAGCAAGTAATTTTTTGGGATTTAATATTTGTATTTACGGTACTTTTCGGTTCGCCGGTTGCATGTAAATCCAACTATTTTTTATTTATTTATATTTACTTAATTTTTTTTATTTTTTAAAATTTTATTTGTATTTATTTATATTTTTTTAAATTTTTTTAATTTATTTTTTTAATTTTTTTCAAAATAGACTTTCACAAAAAAAGTAGATAAAGTAAAAAAAAAAAAAATTTAACCAGATGCGCCCAGGTAACCAAAGACAATTATGTTGTAGGTTGTATTGTTGTATTTGTGTTGCATTTGTGTGTACTTCAAGTACTAGGGTTTATTAAAATTTGATAAACAAAAATATGTGTGATTAAAATCAACTATACATTTTGTTTATTTTTATTTATTTATTTCACTTTAAATTTATAAATTTTATTTCTTTTATTTCACATTTATTTGTTTCACTTTTTTAATGAAACAATAAGTTATTAAACAAAGGCAATTTAATACAGTGATTTTTAGATTTTATTTTTTAATTTTATTTTATTTATTTATTTATTTATTTTAAGAAATTTTGGGGCAATAAATTAAACTCAGCAACAATCTAACAAGATATCTAGCTAAATATTAAATTTTATTTTTATTTTAAACATTATTATGAACGACATTTTTCGTACTGATGGAAGAATAAATATCAAGACACAAGAATAAAATTTTTAGTGGTTTTTGTTTTTCCTACAGGTTCCAGATCGCACACTTAACAACATTATACGTCTGCCAAATTGTTCTATTTGTTCATTCTTTTAATGTGTAAACTTATTACATCATTGTGTTAGTTTTTACGATAAATAGGCTGTCTTTTTCTTAAAATAAATGAATAAACAAAAAAAATCGAAAAAGAAAGGGAAAAAAATGGTCCTCTTTTTATGCGCAATTAAATTGTCCAAAACAGACCATGGAAAAGTGAAAATTTTCTTTTGAACCAGCTCTTATATTTAACAGTATTTATACTTATGTCATGATATCGTTATGATTTTTATATATATAAATATATATAATTTATTTTTATGTTTTAGAATACTTTTTTATAGTGTATAGAATAAAATTTTTTTTTACTCGATTACTTTGTTTTAACAAACCATGGGAATGACATAAAATATTTGTCCTCGAGCCAATCTCCTTTGGCCCAGCACTTTACATTTATTCAACAAAATTTATGTTTTTACCATTAGGTAGTTAAATTCACGAATGAGTAAATTTATTTTTAATTAATTAATTTTTTTAAGTTCTCTTATTTTTATTTAACAGCATTCATAATTTCGTCATTATATTCATAAACAAGAGAGTATTTTTTTTTTCTCAAATTTTTATTTTATTTTTTCAATGCTTATATTATTTTTTTTAATAATATACAGGTCCATAATCATTTTCTTCTAAACACAATTATTCTTTTTAGCAGACCGCAGGATGGACACGAAATAGACCATGCCTCAGACCGGATGTACAAATTTTGATCAAATTCGGTCTTCACCTCCCACACATCCCAAACCGTACAAAGATGTAAGGAAAGCTTCCTAAATACCCCCATGGAGATTTCCTCCTCCCCGCGCATGACGTCACAGTGCAAGTCCCACCGTAAGTAAGTGAGCGGAGTTTAGAGAGAAGGATTATTATCAACACACAGACGGCCTGCGGTCGCCGCGGGAGAAGGAATATTCACGAAAGCGGCAAAGACGCCCATTAAATTGTTTAACAAAAGAATTTTGGGGATATCCCCCCATCTGTAACTCAACTACCTCAAGTAAAGCATAGTTTATCAAAGTGATGAACCATTTATTTGTTTTCATCGAATAATTTTTTTAATGAACTTTTCTGTTTTTAATTGTGGCATTGTTAAGAGAAGAAAACAGGTGCAGACGATAAATTTACTTACCCAGCATGCCGCCTTGCGATGCCATGTTTGTGTGTCTTCATGTGTCCTGCTAAAGAATGAACTGGCATGTTTGGATTGTGAATAAATTAGGTTATTATAACTTATGTGATAAATAACGGAAGGAAAAGTTGTAAACAAAAGTGGATGCGATGTCACGCAGGAAGCAGGAGAAACCGCAACCCAGGAAAAACCTGATAGGTAATTCTTTTGATCTTTTTTTTAAAATTAAATAATTAAGTAAAGAATGACTCTAAATAGAATCAAATCTTTTTATTTCTTATGTGTATGCTATTTTATAAAAAGCAGCTTGGAATATTTACTTTGTTTACATCGTCATAGAAATAAAATTAATTCATTTGGTTCGTAAAAAAACAATTTATTTCAACTTTTACTTTGTTTACTTTTTAACTATTGTTTTGAAATTGATCTTATGTTTTTTTTTTAATTTTTAAAAAAAAAATTTAATTATTTTTTTGACAGGATTTAAGAATAATGAATTATTTTATATGCTTTTGCTTTTTATATGTTTTTTGTTCGATGCTTTGTTTACATTTAAATGGAAACCGAAAATTTTAATACAATTTTGATTCTAAAAAACTTTATTCTAATTTAATTAAATTAGAAAATGATTTCATGTTTATATTAATTTTGTCGATGCATTTATAAAGAAATTGCATTACTTTAATATTGTTTTTTTTTTCGATAAAAACAAGTCTTTAAAACAAAATTTTTTTATCGAGAACAATTGTATAATTTTACTAAATTGCATTAAAATTTTTATTAATAATAAAAAAATTTTTTCCTTTTTTGAAAACATCAGTAGTTAAGATTCTGTACTTCGTCTGAAATTTTTATACATAAAAAACGAACATTTTTGTTGTAGTCATATGTTTATTAACTAAAGAAAAAAATTGCATGAGAAATGTATTGCAATCAGTGTTAAATATTTGAAATTATGAATATTTTAATTTTCGTAGAGTTTTAGTGTATATTTTTAAATTTTTTAAAATACTTCATGAGATTACTCAAATATTTACCGAAACACCTAAAAAATTTAATAAAATTAAATTAAAAAAACTCCTCACTATGTATAATCATTGATGTCAATAAATAATTATGTAAATTGTCTTGTCCTTTAATTAAGAAAATTTATGTACTATCGTTTTCATGTTATTGAATTAGTATTTACGAGCATTAAATAGTTAATAATTTATTTATTTATTTAGGACCTTTTAGTGCAATAAAAATAGTGTGCATCATTCCATTGGAATTAAAATTGTTTACGTTTCAAAAAATATCGAAAATAATACCAAATAAAAATTCATTTCATTAATTCTTTATAAGTCAAAGTTGTGCTTATTTGCATTTTATGCTTGGGGTTATAAATAATTAATACTTTGAACAAACACTAAGCAGACTACTCAAAATGAATTGCACAATAACTTTTATTTAGCTTTACTTTTGTTTTCAAATGCATACATCTTTACAAAAAAATATGATCTTCAAGGTATTTAAAAAACACTAGTTTAAATTTCATTTTTTTTTACTATTTAGTATTTTAATATACATACTTATTTCAGTTATGATGTTTATGTTAGTTTTTTTTTTAATTTAAAAATTTAAAAATAGATTAAATAACTAATATGAATTTGGTGTTAATAAATTATTTATTTTATATTTTTTTAAATAATTTTGATTATAAAGTTTTTTTTATCAATTGTTAATAATAACCTCAAGTAAAAAGAATAATTATTCATGGAGATTTGAAAATTGTTTTGCTTATTTAATGCTTATTCTTAACAAAAAAAATGTTGGGATCAATTATTTTATTAATGTACTTAAAAATGTTCACAAAAAAATAATAAATAAATAATACCTAGCGATTTCGCTTGATCTTAAAAGGATGTCAATAAATTGATAGTTCACATTCACCTTTCAAATGTTTCATTTTTTACTCCCTTCTGAAAACGATATTAAAAGAACAATGAAATAAACAAATTAAAATTTTTATTTTTATTTTAATATCTTTTCTGATGCAATTGTACTATATTTTTACTGTTTTGCTAAGATGTTAAAAATACTGTAAGATTGTAAATTTTTTTTTTTTTTTTTNTTTTTTTTTTTTTTTTTTTTTTTTTTTTTTTTTTTTTTTTTTTTTTTTTTTTTTGTGAAGAAAAACTAATGTAGTATTTTATGCTTGCAAATTTGGCAGTTTTTTGTACATGGAAAATCTATAGTAAGGAGGTTTATATTAGTTATTTATTTAAAGGGTGGGAATTTTTGAAAACAATGCCATTTCATTCTTTTAAAAAATTTTAAAAAATTACTTATTGTTGGGGAATGAAGAAACCTACTACTTGAAGGGCTCTGTTTTCAAAATTTTCATGTAATTTCATAAAATAAAATCTTCAATTTTATTTTATTTTTATTAAATATTATTTCAAAAATTTTTGAATAATTAATAGGTCTCAAGAATAAGTTGGTCAATTGGTCTGAGACCCCTAACTTGGACCACCATAAAATATTAATTAATGGCCCTGCGGAAAAGCAACCAATCACTGTCAGTCCAGCGATGGATTTTTCGTTTTTATTTATTTATTGGTTTGATGATTTGGTCTGCGTTTCTGTTACAAATTCTTACGATTTCGTTTTTACATCATAATTTTGTATATCACGCTATGTCTGTATATTTTAATGTAATTTCATTTTAAAGACTTTATTTTTACTTTTAGCCTGTTACACTAAACTTGTATATTAAAATATAAGGATAAAATCTTGTTAATTTATACAAAGCTTAATTTGTTTTTTGTTTATATTAGTTTACAAAAAATTAAATAATGTATTAAGCCTTTTCTTTTATAAATTCACTATTTTTTTTTGTTGTCAAAAATACAATATGAGTTAGTGAAGGGAACAGTGGAAATATTGAAATCTTTTAATTACTATTCCGTAAGACCATAGCTAGATTTTTCTTAATGTCTACAACTGATTTATTATAAATATTTAGTTAATAAATTATTTTCTTAAGTTTTGTTCATTTATAAAAAGAATATTTCAGAAGTTCTCTAGTTTTTGATTTAATTACCGTGAAGTTTGTAAATTTCATCAATTTCAAAAGTATTAAAGAAGCTATATTAAGTTTTTAATTAGAAAAATATTGAAGGCAAAAAATCAATAAAACATCATCCAAGGATAATAAGAATTCTCAACTGAAATGAAAACGCTTTCTGATATAAAAACCAAAATTAGTTTTAATTTGTCACTCAATATCGTTGCAGTAATAATTGGTGCATAAAACTGCGATATTCATATGCTTTTACGATTCAGAGAGAGGAACAACTTGATGAACCCAGGAGTTCACATTTAATAAAATCTTCTCTGAGAACTTGAAGACAGTATTCTATTCATTAAAGTAAATAAAGCCTTTCAAAGCCCTCGCTCGAAATTAAATTTCTAGTTGCAAACTAAGCGCAATTAATAAGAGGGGGGATGGCGTGACGTTGATGTTCCTCATCTTTTCTCAAAACCTGCTGGCAACAGCCATGTCACGTAGGGAAAAGTTAGGGAAGGGGACTTGAGGAATCAAAATTACGCTGAGTGCAGATATTCAAAACAGGTAGGGATTAAGCTGTGACTTGTCTGAAAGGAGGGGAAAATTTACATGAAAATGCTCTTAGAGTATGAGTTGAAGTTAGTTTTCCTTTAGGGATATGCCAACCCCTTGATTTGTGTGCTTGAGGTTTGGAAATATCGCGATATTTCCTGTCTTCAAGTAGCAGCATTTCGATAAGTTGATGAATCTGTGTGATTAGACCTGTTCAGGTTTTAAACATGACTGACTGTGGGAATTTCGCACAACGCAAAGTTCTGCTCAAAACCAAATCTGTTGTTTTTGGTTTGATAATAACTGTCAGTTTTAATTCTTTAAGTAATTACTTTGTATGCTTCTATATATTTTTTCGTTTAACTAAAATATTTTTTGTTGGTCTAATTTTTCAGAAAGTAGATAACGAATACATATTTTTAAATGGATTTAAATGAAAGCTTATACATAAAGTTTAAAAAATAATTTAATTGGATTAATTTATTTTATTTAATATTACAACTATTAGTGCCTTGATAAATGAGCATACAAGTTTCGCAGTAAACTTGATCGAATATCATATTATTTATCAGTTTTTAAAGATAAATTGTTCATTATTTTGAAAGATTCTATTTTTAAATATATCGAAATCACTGCATTATTTTAATGAACCTTTTTACAAATACAAATTTTTATGTTGAAGTATCTATTTTTTTTTTTAATTGTAGCGTCACAGAAGTGAATATTTTTTTTTAAATTTTCGAATCTTCAAGTTTTAAAAATTACTTAACTTAGTTAGCTCTTCTCTAGTCCTCACTCATATAAAAAATATTTGTTTATGGAATGATACTAGTTTTCTCTATAGTTAATTATTATTTTCTTAGTCAATTTTGAGTAAACAAAATTAATTTAATTTTCATAAATAAACCTTTTTTTTTTAAATTATTTATAATAGTCAAATAAGTGTAGTTAAAATAAAACATACATATCAAAATGAAAGACTTTAAATCTGTAACTAAATATTTTACTATATTTGGTTAGGCACATATAGTTCTACTTTTTTAAGGCCTCATGTACAGAATTATTAGGGTTATGGACTTAACTGGATTATATTACTTGGAAAATTAAGTCTAAATTACACCATTACTCACGAAATGAAGTATTATTTTAAACCTCTCACCAATTTGCATTTTAATTTTTACCATGTTCATTTAAAAAACATTATTTTTTTTGATCCGTTCAAAAAAGTAAAGAAGAAAAAAAATCCGGACGTGTGAAAGTCCACAGCTTATTATTTTTTTTAAATTCAATATATTCTGATAAGAAGCTACCGCTGCTGATAACACCAATCCAAAGGTTAGTGGCCATCCGNTTTTTTTTTTTTTTTTTTTTTTAATTGTAGCATCACAGAAGTGAATATTTTTTTTAAAAATTTTCGAATCTTCAAGTTTCAAAAATTACTTAACTTAGTTAGCTCTTCTCTAGTTCTCACTCATTTAAAAATATTTATGTATGGAATGATACTAGTTATCTCTATATACTTAATTATTATTTTCTTTGTCAATTTTGAGTAAACAAAATTAATTTTCAGAAATCAACTAGTAAAAACCTGTTTTTTTTTTTTTTTTTAAATTATTTATAATAGTCAAATAAGTGTAGTTAAAATAAACATATAAAAATGAAAGACTTTAAATCTGTAACTAAATATTTTACTATATTTGGTTAGACACATATAGTTCTACTTTTTTAAAGCCTCGTGTTCAGAATTATTAGGGTTATGGACTTTTAAAAACTGGTCTATATTACTTGGAAAATTAAGTGTAAATTACACAATTACTCACGAAATGAAGCATCATTTTAAACCATTCACCAATTTGCATTTTAATTTTTACCATGTTCATTTCAAAAACATTATTTTTTTGATCCGTACAAAAAAGTAAAGAAGAAAAAAAAAAAAAAATCCGGACGTGTGAAAGTCCACAGCTTATTATTTTTTTTAAAATTCAATATATTGTGATAAGAAGCTACCGCTGCTGATAACACCAATCCAAAGGTTAGTGGCCATCCGAAACAGAACATAAGAATAGGAATGCCAAATAAAAGAGGAAGAAAAATAGAAAATTACTGACTCCATCTTCCTGATCTCCATCTTCCTGATCTTCCTGATTGTCCCGATGGCTCTCTCTCTCTCTCAGTGTTGAAATTTGTGAAAACAATGGACATTATTTTGCAAGCACGTGCCTGACATTAAAGATAAAAAAGGCTAACTACGCCTCATAAGTCAGTTTGTCATAACTGATTTGGTCATAACCCGTTAAATGCAATGTCAACTTGGATGTAATCTTTCCAATCATATGTTCTGATACAACCACACTCGACCGTTAAAAGAATAGGGGGAAGGGGAGGAAATAACTGAATTGATGTGGTATAATGATAACTGGACTCTTAGATAAAAATTAATTAGTTTTAGTTGGAATTAAATTATATATTTTCTTGTATTCAAGTTGAATGTGTTTTAGAACAAAGATTTTCAACCTGACCCAAGTTTGGGTCAGAGGGAGTTAATATCACTGAATTTAAAATTCGGACTGAATTACAGCTTACAAAAAAAAATGCTGTTTTGTTCTAGACAGTAAGTTTGGCCGGAAGGGTTTAATTTCTCTTTTACTTGAATTAAATTATATATTTTTAATTTATAATACATGTTTCTAGAACAGATGTTCTCAACCAAAACTTCTGTCGGAGATGTTCTGATACAACCACACTCGACCGTTAAGAGAATGGGGGGGGGGATGGGGAGAAAATAACTGAATCTCTTTGAATTGTTTTGGTATATTTGATATGATGATTACTGGACGCTTAGATAAAAATTAATTTCTCTTAGTTTCAGTGGGAATTAAATTATATATATTCTAGGATTCGTGTTGAATGGCTTTAGAACTAAGATTCTCAACCTATGGATCGTGACTCAAACTTGGATCAGAGGAGCTTAATATCGCTGAACTTCCAATTTAGTCTGATTAGATACTTTTTTTTTATTAATTTATGCTGTTTTGTTCTAGACTGTATTTTCGCAACCATTGGGTTTTGTTCTAAATTTGGGTCGGAAGAATTTAATTTCTCTTTTACTTGATTTAAATTATGTATTTTAAATTTATACTACATGTTCCTAGAACAGAGGTTCTCAACCAAAACTTCAGTCAGAGATTTTTCTTAGTTTCCAACTTGAACTTAACATTTTCTTGAATTTATTTTGTACAGCTCTAGGACAGGTTCTCAGCTTATGGCTCTTTGAAACAGGTGACTAAAGCCTCACAAAAATTAAGACACTTATTTTTTGTGATGTTAAACACGCAATAAAAATGGAAAATCCGTGCAAAAACTTATTCATTTTCTTGTTTTTTCCCCACCTCTCTGCTTTATCTGAAATAAATTCATTAATATTATTTTATTTTTATATTTGTAGTTCTATTATTCAGATAACTCGCCTACTGAATATGTTCATTTATCGATTGGGCTTTGCTTAACCCTAACTTTTGTTGCACTTTACGTATTAATGAATAATCAAATTAATATCCCTCTGAATTAAATTTAAAACCTTAAATTTATAATACAATCATGCTCTCTTTAAACCCTATTCTAAGTTGTGATATATAATTAAAGTGAATATAGATAAGAAATTTTGCTTCTAAGAGTTTAACATACTTATGATCATAAAAAGCCTAAAAATCCTTCTATTTAATCTAATAAATACGATTTACAATATCAACAGTGAAAAAAAGTTAACAATTTTTTATTTAGACTTTTATATTTATTTTAATTTTGACGAGAATGAAATTAATAATCGTGATACGATTAATAATTTCAATTAATCATAATCTTAATTAGTCTTAGTTATTTTCATTTGTGTATGTTACGCTAAATGTAATTAATCGGTTAATATTAATAGTCACAGGTTATTATTAGTAATAGCCAGTTATTATTAATAATCGCCAGATTTATTACTTTAACCTTATATTTAAGAATTAACATATATATCGTATTAAGAATTGATCTGAATTTTAAAAGTATTAGAATCTATCTCAATTCTTTCTCTAAATTCGCATCATTATTGCAAACAGCTAATTATTTGTTCCCGATTTGTGAAGCATTTTAATGAGCTAAAAGCTTTATCGCTTTAAAACTTAATAAAATTGTTTACGATTTTTCCAAATTAACGAATTTTATAATATTTAATCTTAGACACCTTTTTAATATCGTCCTTGGTTACTGGATGTAATTATAATTTCCTCTACCTTCTCCAAGACAGCTTGAGATAATAATTCACTGCCCAACACTTTTGACCTTTGGACCATTGTAATTTCGATTTGTGATGATGAGCTTAATTTTTATTGTCTTGTTTCCCTGTGCTGTAAATAGACTGAGTTGTTGAGAAATGATTAGGCAACAACTCCTTGCCGTGGTTCGGGCAAATGTCCAATATTCACACTTCTTGAACTTTACATCGCCATCCGCCTCAGAATGTTCTATTCTTAGGTATATCTTCTGACTTTGAGGCCAAGTGTCCGAACTCTCTTCCATGGACTTACACTCTTGACTCATCCTGTGCTTAATTTATCGAGCCCCCAGACTGCTGACAAACACTTTTTGTAGGCAGTACTTCTTCTCTTACGTTCTTCAAGGAATTGTAAGATAACATGAATAGTTTCTTTCCAAGTGAAATTTTAAAAAGCCATTATGATTCATTACATAAGTCTAATCATTCTTGAAATCATAGACAGATAATTGTTAGTTTAAACAAAAAAAATTTAAAACGCAGTTTATATATTTTTTTACATTAAAAAAAATCTTGCCATTCTTTGTGAAATCGTAAATCGAGAAATCTTTATTTCGCTAAACGATTTAAATTGTTTCTTCTATGAAAAAGAATATCCAGCTGTTCTTTGTTTAACCAATGATGGAAAATTGTTTGTGTCACCAAATAAAATTTAAAAACCATTTTAACATTTTACCATTCTTTGTGAAACCATGCATTGAGAATTATTGGTTTCACCAAATAAAATTTAAAAAATCGATTTAGATTGTTTTTCAATAGAAGAAATATATCCATCTGTTCTTTGAGGAATCAGTAGTGGAGAATAGTTTCACCAAATAAAATTTAAAATACCATTTATATTCATTCCATAAAAAAAAGAATACTTTGATTTTTATGGAATCGAAAATCAAGTACCTACTGCTAGTTAATTGGCTTATTTCTTTTATTTATTAGATTTCTTTTATTATTTCTTTTAATAAAAGAATGAATAAATAACTATTTGACTATTTAACGCATTTGTGAGGGTGTGATGCGTAGGTATTTTTTTCCTCGCTCGTGTTGTGGGTTTGATCTTTTAAAATAATTTTTACAACTTAATCGTCGTCAACAGTTGTTTATTTTTCAAAATTCTGCATTGAAAAAAAAAGAACAGTAATAACTTACAGTTTTGATGAATTGACTTGTATACTCGCGCAAACTATAGCCCTTTAAGAAAATCAAGTCCTTTCTCAATCTTCTAAAACCCTTTTAGGCGTATAACTATTTGGTGCAAGTAAACAAATATGTATTAATTTTAAAAGAACAGTAGGAGGAAGGTGCCTACTCAAATTCATTGTTTTACCAAACCAATTTTGTTTGCTCAGTTTTAAATAAGTGTATTTTTTTTAACTACTTAATTGTTATTTTTTTAGTTTTTAAACTCTCCATTTTCTTTCTTCCTTAAAAGAAAAGAATTGTTTTTAAAAAGATATTCACTCGTTATGAAATCTCGCATTATTTTTGTCTTACAAATTTTATTTCTCGTACAAAATTTCTGGGCGAAAAATTAGTTTTAGAATTCAAAACTGCATGCACAAATTAACCATAAATCAGAATGTGCAGAAAACAATCAATTCTAAAAGTTCGTGCAGAACAACTTATGTTTTCAACAGAGCTATCTACTATTTTCATGTCCCTACAGAACAAAATATCCAAGTCGCATTGAAAATTTTAAGTAAAAATAATAATTTTTTTCTTCTCATTTTGCAAGTATTTTTACATAATTTGATGCTTAAGGTTCCTGTTTTTGCAGTTATAGTTACTAAAATAAAATTAATTGTCATTAAAAAAATAAATCAAGCATTTTACTGATAAGATTTGTTGATATTGTATAAGATTTGTTGTAGTTGTAGAACATTTACAATTAATAAAAATTTTGAGGCAGATTGTTTCTGTTACCAAATGAATAGATTTAAGTAATCAATACAAAAGACAATTTTTGCACATTATACACGATTCTAAACAGAATTCCGAAACCAATTTTTCCGGCGCTCTCCAAGTTGCATCAGTGTACAAATCTGTCGCCCCCTCGCTATTTGTAACTTAAGTCCGCCCCGTGTTACATGATTAAGAAAGACCATGGGACCGTCACCGAAATAACTTCACAAAGAGGCACTCCAAGAATAATAATAATAATAAAAAAAAAAGTCCATCCCCGAGAAAGGAAACTGGAACCTGGCTGTAATGTCAATGTCTCAGATCCGTCCGCATTTCTCCCATGACCTTAAGCATCCCCTTCTCCTTAACTTATACAGGGAACAAGGCGATGGTGTTTTTTTTTATACATATATATATAATCCAGCATTCTACTTCCCCCCCTTCCCGACCAGTTCCCTTCAGATGCGTTTTTTAGAGTGAGGAGGGAAGAGAAGGGACCGCGGATGGCTCTTGGCCATCTGGTTGAGGTCCTCAATTGGGGATGCTACGGCCGGACGCAGGGTTGCTACACATTCTACATCCTTAGCCAGGGAGGTCTAGAGTGCAACTTGAGATATTCGATTAATGAAGCGGATGCCTTTCTCCGTCCTTAATTAATTCCTTTCGTCAAAGGATTAAATGCTTCAGAAAGGACACTCGGTTTTCAATATCTTTAAAGAAATTGAGACTTCATTGTTCAGCTTCTAAGGATTAATCTTTATCTACAGGCTTAATTGAAATTCACGTTTCAAGTAAAAATTGGATTCATATTAGTTTGGATATTTACTTGCAATCTACTGCGTAGAACTCTTTCCTCTCAAAGTGTCTGCCCTAGATATATATTTATCTTAATTAAAACAGCCTCATATATTTTTATTTTGAGATAATAAAATGAAGGAATATTTTTAGAATTGGTGTTTTATGGAAATAAGTTTTCAAAAGAATTCTCACATTAATCTTCAACATATTAATTTTTAATGAAACTTGATTATTATTTTTGAAAAAGGGGGGTATTTCTTAGTATCACTATACAACAATAGTTCTGCAGCACTTTAATAGTGATTTCTGCATACTTTTTATTGAGAATAAAATAGTAAAAATCACTTGTTCTTGAACATAAATAGCGTAATAACCAATAAGCATTACATATAAACTGAGAAACAATAATAATAAATAATTAATTCTAAAATAACTAAATTCTAAAACAAATTACGCAGTCTTATTTTGGTGTTCTACAAAACATTTTTTGGTTCATCCTATTAATTTTTTCGCTGCAATTAATTAATTCTGTAATGCAGTTAATTATTTATTTAAATTTATTCCTATTTCAGTAGTCGGTGCTTAACATTTTTATCTTATAACTTTTTAATTATTTTTATTTTAATTTAAATAAATTGTTTCTTTTTATAATAAAATGAATACTGTATTTAGTATTTAATATTTTTATAGAAAGGATAAAAACGCGTACTTTTCTGTTTTTAATTAACTCCATCTTCAAAAGAGTTAATTTTGCAATGCCGTATACTTTCGCTTTCATTTCCAGAAGTTGTCGCATTATTGTGGCGTGTTTCATGTTGCTTTTAATTAATGTTTTAAAGAAATTCATACACTTTTTCTTAATGAATTCTTTGTTTTTGTTTTATAAGAATTTAATTTTTAATTAATATATTTCATTAATTATAATTGTTATCTATATTTATTTTGACTTTGTTGTAGTATTTATTTAAATTTACCTGTTAGTTTACGATACATTTTGTATTTTAAGTTCGTTTTATTATTTTGCTATTTTAGAGTTAGTTGGCATTAGAATAATAGTTAATTGTTTCGTTTACTTTTTTAAATTTAGTACTAACTCTTCAAAATAATCTTAACTTTTACTTATATATATATATATATATATTTTTAAGTTTCCATTGTAAATTTTTAGAGTATGTTCTTACAATTATTTTAAATCTTATAAAATTTTAATCGGCGATGAAATCTCGAAAGTTAGTCATAAAATTATTAATAATTTAATAAGCAGTTATATTAATAATAAACTAATAAGTAGTGATACTAATAATAAGTTTGGCACAGTAT